GGTCTTGAAGTAGTATCAACTTATTTCATAGTTTAAAAATTATACAATCAGCCTGAATAACCATCTGATTTTAGTGCTTGTCTTCTAACAGACACCTATAAATCTCTAACGTTCCATGGATATTGTTCTGTTTAGACTTCCTATTGGAAGTTTTTATAGACTTCTTCTATGGAAGAAAAAAAAAAATCCCATATCACCTAAACTACCAAATTAATTGACACTGACTTCTGGGGGGAAAAGAGTCCAATGTTTTCTAATATAAATGATTATTATGTTCTTTTTTTAACCACATTTTTTAACTGCTTTAAAAATCCTTCTGAGGTACATTGTCTGGTTTATGTTCTCGTAATTTAAATGATGAAACAGAACACTGGCCTGAAAATTAGTTAAGGCTCACTTCTGGGATGAACAACTCAGGGGAGCAGAGAAGCCCATGAGACACCTCAGCCTTACTGCCAGTCCCACACGTGTTGTCAGACCTTAGTATTTCCTGCTCCCTCCCTATGAGGCCCTGTCTGCTTCCAGGCATTAAGGAAAAGAAAAAGCCCTCTTAACACTTGCAAAGGTCTTTTAGGAGCTGATAACTAGAAACTTGTCATTATTTTCAGCAATTAGCAACTGGGGGAAAAAGTCTGTCACAAATATTCTCAGTTCCCCAAGCCTGTCCTCTCACTGTGGCTACAGGTGAAAAGATAATTCTGCAGGGAGGTGAGATCATAGAACTGCAAACCCATATCTTACGGTCTGGCTGCCTCCCTCCCTATCACACAAATCCTGATTGTCGTGACCAGCACACTGAGCCCCCATCCTGGCGGCTGGAGGGAGTCAAGTGAGTATTTTCTTTATCAGTCTGAGAGGCAGAGTCTGCAAGCACAGTGGGGTACCAGGGGTCTTGGAAAGTGACGGTCTCAGAAAGAGAGAGTCTTCTGGTTGAGTGCCAAGGGCGCACAGGAAGGAGGAATAATTCTGAGGCATGAGCTGAGCTAGTAAAGGGAGATGGGTTCCTAGACCTGATGGCTCCTGATGTGATTTAGTGTAATCCTAACTGACAGTGAATACTGGTGTTTAATCCAAGTGATAAGGAAAACAGACTTTAAAGTACTTAAGGACTGTGTACAGGAATCATAGACTACATTTTCAGGATTTGTAGCAGTGTGACTCTAACATCTGCATGCTTGTAATAAGGATTAAAATAAATCTACAGGAATCCTCTAAACTAGTGTAAAACCAGTGCATCCAAAAGGCAATTTCTGATATAAGAATGATTTCTCTAATTCTGGGTGTATGAAGAGCTATGGAGACAAGAATTGTTTCCTACTGAATATATCCCTGGTCTATTGAGTTTGGTGAGACTGTTGTCCCTCTTCAAATTAAGGGGGAAGCAACTGAAATAGTAACGTTACAAAATGGGTTTCAGACAGCAACTATTACCCGGGAAATATCTTGTGATGTATTCTCTGGTTTAAAACTATTCTTATATTAACCCCAAACTCTACAATCTCAACTTATATAATACACACACTTCCAAGCTAAGAAATTCTCTTGTGTGAGTCTTACATTTTGATTTTTCACAAACCTTATCTTATTGCTAATACCTTTTCTTAAGTGGTGGTAAACAGAGCAGCTTAAGATTTGAAATTAGTAATATTGAGTTTCTATTCTTTTTTATAAATTTTTTTTTAACATTTATTTATTTTTGAGACAGAGAGAGACAGAGCATGAACAGGGGAGGGGCAGAGAGAGAGGGAGGCACAGAATCCGAAACAGGCTCCAGGCTCTGAGCTGTCAGCACAGAGCCTGACGCGGGGCTCGAACTCACGGACCGTGAGATCATGACCTGAGCCAAAGTCGGACGCTTAACCGACCAAGCCACCCAGGCGCCCCTTGAGTTTCTATTCTATACCAGCTTATCACATATTGGCATTTCAAGTCTCACTATTTAGGGCATGACATGGCATTCAATGATTTCTATGGTAGGTGTCATAAAAGAAAAATAGCGGATCAATTGCCAATATGCTAGAAAGCTAACGACACAATCTTTTCTTTAAACACAATTTGTCATGGAGCAGGTCCCTAGAATTATACTACAGTCAGTGAGTCTACATTTGATTGAGATATTTAAATATTCATTTTTGTTAGTGGTCAACACAAGAAATCTTTAAACATAAATGAAAAAATGTTAGAAAAAATACTACTTATCTAAAATAAGATCACAAGGTATGAGAATGTCTGAATATATGCCTGTATTTTGAATGTTTTTTAAAGTTTATTTATTTAAGTAATCTGTACACCTGATGTGGGCTCTAACTCACAACTCCCAGATCAAGAGTCACATGCTCTTACAACTGAGCCATCCAGGCATACCTATAGACCTGTATTTTTTTTTTTTAATATTTATTCAATGAGAGATTGAAAGAGAGAGAGAGAGAGAGAATGAGAATGAATCCCAAGCAGGTTCCACACTCAGTGCAGATATCCTCAGATCACGACCTGAGCCAAAGTCAAAAGTTGGATGCTCAAGCGACTAAGCCTCCCAGGTGCCCCTATACACCTGTATTTTGAAGAATACATCTAATTAGCTTTGTTAAAACAGCACTGTGTTTAAAGGCACTGCCATCATACCAGCCCAGTCAGGTTCTAATCTCCCCATTCCCATTCAAATGTCAAAACATTTGAATTTGACAAATCACCAAACTTTCTCTGCCTCCTTATCTTTTCCATGAAAATACTGACTCTCAACAACTTATGAAGAATACAGAATGTACTACATACACAGCCTTTATAGCAATGATCTATGTTACGTAAAAAGCTCTTCTAGTGTTCTAAGTTCAGCCCTTGGAAACTTGTTAAAAAGTAAATATTCTAAATAATTATTTTTAAGTGGGAACTCAAGTTAAGTGGAGAACATTGGATTTTAACCAATGTGACACACGTGCCTCACACCTCCTGTTCCCATGCAGGAACCTGGCTCAGAAGAAGAATTTCACTCCCTGGGATTTTACAGAATGACCACCAGGGATTTGACGATGGCAATGATCTTTTTCTTACAAACTACAGTTGGACTTCTGGGGAATTTCTCTGTTTTTTACTATTATCTCTTCCTTTATTTGACAGGATACAAGCTTAGGTGCACAGACTTGATTCTTAAGTATCTGACTGTAGCCAACCTCTTAGTTATTTTTTCTAAAGGAATCCCTCAAACAATGGCATCTTTTGGGTTGACACATTTTCTCGATGATTTTGGATGCAAACTTGTTTTCTTTGTTCACAGAGTGGGCAGGGATGTGGCCATTGGAACCACCTGCCTCTTGACTGTCTTCCAGGTGATCATGATCAGTCCTGGGGACTCCAGGTTGGCACAGCTTAAAATAAAAGCTCCCAAGTATGTGGGCACCTCCAACATCTTCTGCTGGGTCTTGAATATAGTGCGAAGTATTGTGGTTCCTTTTCATCTAACTGACAAAAGGAATAACATAAACATCACAAAGAAAATAGATCAGGACTACTGTTACGCGATATCTTACGACAAAATCGCAGAGTCATTCTACGTGCCATTGCTATTATCCCATGATGGTTTCTGTTTGGGGCTCAT